ATGATTTTTGAAGTTTTAAAAAAGTTTGTTAAAAACAGAAAACTATTACAGAGGATGGAAGTAGTCGCGATCAGAGAAGCAAAATGGTTATATGCAATAGATAATCAAGTGTTGGTGAGGGCACAGAGCTGATGGATGTGCAAATGGCACACCCACAGTGGCAAATGGACTGGAAGCAGCTCCTTCCATTGAACATTATGTGCACCCATGACCCAACAATTCTCCTCTTACCTGCAAACAACAGATGTGTTCACAAAAAGTCATGTACTAAATCTTCACCTAGCACTACTGATCACAGCAAAAACCTAGAAACTGCCCAAATGCCCCTGAGAACACTGGGTAAAATCACACAACGGAATACTCCACGGTACTGAGAATAAGCAGCCTGCCACCAACCACAAACAATAGGGGTGAGCTTCACAGCAAAATGTAAAATGAAAGAAGCCAGACACAAGAGAATCCGCCAGCAGACACCCTACATCTACTGGACCCCTTTAGAAATGGCCCTTGCTGAAAACAGCAGCAGTGGGCTGGGCACAGTGGCTCATACCTATAATCCCAGCCACTTGGGAGGCAGAGACAGAAGAATTGCACTTCAAGTCTGGCCTGGTCAAAAAGTTAGCAAGAACTTCTCCCAAAAACAAGCCAGGCTTGGTGACACATGCCTGTGATACCAGCTACTCAGAGCCAGAGTCAAAGTGGCCCAAGCAAAATTAGTATGGGACCCTATCTGAAAAACAAACTAAATGCAAAATGGCTGCAAACATGGCTCAAGTAGAACACTTGCCTGACAAACGTGAGGCCCTCAGTTCAATCTTTTAGTACTGAAAAAAAACAAACAAAGAAAGTGTGTGTCTACCCTGTGCAGCCAATGCCTGGTTAATATGGCTAGGGTACTGATTCTCACGCAGCTCAGGATATCTCTGAAGGGACTTTCCAGAACCTCCCACAGGGTAAACTTAGGCTCAAATCCCACTGCTACCATTTACTACACATAATCTTTTTATGTTTGTGGACCTGAGTTCAGGGCCTTGTGCTTGCTAGGTAGGTGCTCTACCACTTAAGCCATGCCCCAACCCTCTTTTGCTTTAGTTATTTTTTGGACAGGGTCTCAAATTTTCACCCAGGGTCAGCCTTGAACTGTGATCCTCCTACCTCTGCCTCCCAAGCAGCTGGGATTACAAATGTGTATCACCAGGCCTGGCTAATTCATTGAGATGGGGTCTTACTAACCTAAACTGTGATCTTACCGATCTCTGCCTCCTGGGTAGCTTGGATTACAGATATGAGCCACTGTGCCCAGCCCCTACTACTATGTAATCTTAATCATGTTATTTAACTTCTCTACTATGGGTTGACTTATCTGTAAACTGTAAATAATAATAGTGTTGTCGTAAGGATTAAGTTAGTTATTATATGTAAATATAATACTATTTTTATGTATTTTGTAAAGTCACTGAGATTGAACTATAGCTCAACAACCAATTTTGCCCAGTCCTGCTCCCTTTCGCAAGTGCTGATTCTAACAGCTCTCCCTAATAAATTCCTGAACCTAACACCTTACTCTCAGTCTGCTTCCCAAGGTATACAACCTTCAGCACAAGTTGAACTGATGAGAGAGAATAAGTGTGAATGAGAGGAGGAAGAAGAGCTTTTTTTAAAAGCTGACACAAGCTTTAAAAAAAAATCTGGAGACTGGTGCTTATGTTCAAATGGGAAAAATTCACTTAAGGCACACCTACGAAACATATCCTTCTTCCTATGTATGATTCAATATGAAGTTAAAATAAACTTAGAAAATGAGCAGAATGGAATAAAGCCTTGAAATATTTAGTCCTACTTGCGCATCCTTTAAACAGTCACTACTGTGCATATAAACATGCTCCAGAGAAGTCTAGGGAGTTACTGAAATTACAAACCAGCTGGTGGCAAACCAGGCTCCTCAACCACACACTTACATTACTTTTACCTGATAGCCCTGTGGAAGTGATCAGAGTCAATCAGAGGCCTGGAGAGATTCTCCAACAGCAAACACCCTGACCGAGTTCAGGACACACTACAACAAAACATGGCACCTTCGCATCCGAGAAAACTGTAGTAGCAAGAAAGGCACTGTCTCCTTTCTCCTCTGAGGCAGGTCATAAAGTCTAGCAAACTTCCCCTGAAGTGGTCACACCCTTACATTCCTGGCCTCCTCTCTGTCTCTGAAGGAAGAGGTATTTTGTCTGAAGACCTGAGGACAGAGGTGAATCTAAACAAGAGCCTTAGCTTAGTTCCCAGCTTTGTCAGTCTTAGACTGCACTCCCTTTGTCCAGTCATCCTTCCAATACAACTGTCCACTCTTCATCAAACCTGAGCATAACACATGGGCTTATCTGTTTCTTGGGGTCTTCCTTTATGAAGGCTCTGGTGTCATGTAAAACGTGTATTAAATACATTTGTATTCTCATATTAATCTGTCTTTACAAATAGGTATCTCAGCTGTGAGCCTAGGATGGTGAGGAAAAATTCTTCCTCCAACATTACCAACTACCCAGCTTTGTCTTGTAAGGAGGAAAATGCTAAGGAAAGCCATGTACCTAAAAGTATACCTTTGAATCTTCCTTCAGAAACATACCTGGCTCTCAAGTCAGAAGACAAAAATTTTCCTGATTTAGACAACACAGCAAGCCTGATCCTTTACAATATTCTCTCAAGATAGGGTTTCTGTTTTCCATCACTGGCTACTTTATTATTTATTTATGCCCTATCTGAAAAACAACTAAAACCAAAAGAAGGGCAGGGGGAATGTCTCAAGTGGTAGAACACTTGTTTAAAAGCTCAAGGACCAAATTCAAGCTCTACTACTGCTAAAAGAATTAATAAATAAAATAAAGTAAAAAATAAAAGCAGCTTTTAGTTCAGTTGATAGGGAATAAGAAGTAGAAGGAAGACAAAACAGTTCCTAAATAGAGAAAGCAAATTCCTTTACTCTCCTGGCTGGCATTCAGTGAGGTATTGATCATAAACCTATACCCCATCCCAAACTCATTTGGATCATTCCCACATTAAAAAAAATTCATCCATTAATTCAGGAGAACCTCAGACCAAATGACTCCCTTAAAACCATAAATGAGATAAGGAGGAAGATGAGGATGATAGATATCACCAGTACCAGTTGGGGGGAACCATCAGAACAAAATTGTTACTTTATTTCAAAAATGAGTTCCTCCTTGAAATGCAGGAACTAGAAGTCATGTGGTCTGCAGAAAACACAAAGGGTTACACTGGCCAATTCTGATGAACAGGTAACACTAGCAAACAGGGAAGAATGGACTGACAAGAAGAGTCGAATAGATTTTAATCTTTTAGCTTATTGTTACTCATGTTTTTCTTGGATAAAGAAGGAACAGAATATACAACCCAATACCTAAGCTCCAATAAAAATTTTTAGGCTTGATCTCAAAGATTATCTTTTAAATTTTTTTGAAGGAAGACATCATACTGTTTGTACCACTAAATTACTTGGATCATTTTAAAACAGGTTTGCCTCTAAGATGACGCTAAGTGAATTCATCTCCCTTTGAGGCAGGGATGAAAAGGAATGCAGTAATAATGTGCATTCCATTCTTTATCTTCAAAACTCTGCAAGAAGCTGGCTGGGAATTTCCTACCCACTATCTTTGAGGTCACTCACTGATTTATTCATTCACTCAACAAATAGTTTGTGAAAGCCTACTCTGCCCTGAAGCTAAAACCTAATTTTCCTCTTCTTTGCATATGGATATAAAAGATCTCAAACATTCCTTCTGACCATGAGAATTCTACACCCCACCCCCCATATCAAGGAACAATTTTATTTCCTGACTCAATTATGTTCCAGTCATTCACAAAAAAACAGATGAAGAACATCTGAACATTTATCTAAGATACTGAACACATTTCATGTTGGGAGACTGCCATAAGCCTTTGAGGGCCGGGGTGGAATGCCATAGTTTAGATCTGGGACTTTCACCCAAAGGCCCTTGTGTAGGAGGCTTAAACCTCAGTTTAGCACTACTGGGGGAAGTGACCTAGTGGGAGATGTTTGGTCCCTGGGGTTGTGTCCTTGAAAGGGAAAATGGGATCCTGGCTCCTTCCTTTCTCTCACTTCCCAGCAATAACATGAATAGGTCTAGTCCACTAGGTTTTTAAGCCATGATGTGCTGTCTCACCACAGGCCCAAAAGCAATGGGGCCAACTGATTATGGACTATGTCCAAAAACTCCAGAACTGGAGGAATGGCTCAAGCGGCAGAGGACCTGCTTTATAAGCACAGAAGCTGAGTTCAAACCCCAGCCTTACCAAAACAAAAACACTACTGCAAACCAAAATAAACCATTCCTCCTTCTAAGTTGATTATCTCAGGTGTTGGTTATAGTGACAGAAAAATGAATGACACAGATACAATGCTTTTCTTCCCTCTGAAATCCCTTTAACAAAACTCTGCCCTAGGGGGAGAGTGACCTAGGACTTTGTTCTTGTTGGAGCTGTATCTATAACATGGCTAGTGGTCACAAGAGAGCCTTGTGTTATACATTCCTAGCCTCACTCAGCTTCTGTCTGCAGGGAACTATCCCTCTGTCATGGCTGGGACCAAAACCCACAAACCACAAAAAAAGCAACAGCAACCTCTCCTCACCTTCTCTTTTCCAAGGAGGCTGCCTTTTGGTGGGGCTATAGCTAGAGAACATTTCTAACAGTAGACTACTCAGGTATATGCTGAGTATTTGGAATGGACCTAGCCATCAGAGAAAAATCAATAGGTTAGTTGGTGAAGCTACTGTGTTAGCAAGAGTAGCCTCAGTTCTGCTGCAGTAACAATCTTTTTGTTTTTTTTCTTTTAGTCATATGTGCATACATTATTTGGGTCATTTCTCCTCCCTTCCCCCCACCACCTCCCTTTCCCCCACCCCTTCCCTCTCCACCCCCCTCACCCCCTCGCTACCAGGCAGAAACTATTTTTCTTAAAAGCAATCTACCTCGGTTGGCCCAGCATACATCATGGGAGATGGGAAAATGGCCACCACTGTTGTTTCAGGATTCAGAATTCCTTCCTCCAGCACAGCCGCATGCTGCTTCATACGCCACATCAAAGGAACATCATCATCCTTTGTCCAGCCACCAAGAGGATGAAGGAGGAGTACAGGGCGCCGGTAGCCCCTCTCCAGAAGTTGCTTATGAGTATCCTGCATTAACAGAGCATGTCCGTTGTGCACAGGGTTGCGTAACTGAAACGCAAAGACAGCATCTGAAAAGACAATTTCCAGAGTTAAGAATTTCTAACTTGAAATTCTTCTCAAAGCTTGATGCTTAGGATCAAGCAAATATATGTATGCTGAGAACCAGAAATGAGTGAAAGCTATGTCCTGCTTTGACCATTTATTTTACAGTGCATGACATACATTCTACTGCATATTAAGTAAATCTTACATGCTTTAGGATATATAACAGAACAATCACAGATTTATAACAATTACATTATGCATTCATGGGAAAGATGTCAGACTTTCTTTCTGGCTCTAACATCTCAGTTCAACTGCTTATGACAGATTTAAATTCTCATTCTGTACCTCAATGACCCACCAGGTCAATTCTTCCATAGGAGCTAAGTAAGACACTACTTTATTAAAAGGAGACAAAAAGGAAGAAATATTTATAGTTTCAAATTTTTACTTACTATCTAATTAGGCTTATTTATACTAACCAACTTGGTTGACTAGAATTCCATTTTGTTTTGTGACATGAGGTCTGGGTTTTGGATTATAGTTTAGCAACAATGATACACCTTATGAGCACCAATGCTCATTCAAATAAAGAAAACTGAAAGACTGAGTTAGTGAACTACTTCCTATTTACACCCCTAGCTTCATTCCTACGTGGTGCTAGCTACCAGGAGATTTCTCTTCTGGTCAGAGTACAGAGACAATCCACTTAGAGGAGCTCTGTGTTTACTGTCCCCACAACACATGGCACTTTATCCCTCTATGTTGACCCAAGCTCGACTCAGAGAGGAGCACCGTCCCTCCCCTAATACTTTTAAGTAAAACAGCAGACATCATCTTCAACCTATTTTCGATTCTGATCCTGATCTATTACCAGGACAAAATTACAGGAGGAAGACTGTGGCACCATACTTCACTAAGATTCTTTGGTTTTGTTTTGCCACATCCTATAATATCCAAGATGTATAGCATTATTATTATTATTATTATTATTATTGGAAGTTGTCCAGTTATCTTTTATACATGTACAGTGCTGGTTTTCACCTAGAAAACAGATGATGTGAGTGACAGAAGATACAAAGCACAGGAAAGTCTTGTTAAGTATACAAGCACTTAAAATCATTCTGCTCTGAGATGGAGAAGGGATACAGATCTGAAAAATTTTTTATTCTTCCTTCGAAATTCACCTCAAAGTTTGTTTTACAAACGGACATAGAAGACCTTGAAACATCTCTTTGACCATTAATAATGAAATAACTCCACTCCTCAGCACTTTTACTTCTTAACTCTATTCCCCTGCAACTTTCTAAGGAAGAACAGATCCAGAGTGCCTACTGAACACAGGAGCGCTAATATCCCTTAGTTAAGGGAATTACTGCCTGAACGTAATCCGCTACTCTGGCTCTGGCCAAAATTTCATCACTGGGTTTAGTTTTCTGGCCACTCTTCCCTCACCTCACCTTGTCCCTTCTGAATAAACAGCTTTAAATCACCAAATAACACTTACTAAGCATTTAAGAATTCTCGTCCTGGGCTGGTGTGTCACTGCACTGGGGAGCCCAGCACAAGCCTGCAGCACTAGCCTGCAGCACCAGGAACTAAGAAACTGTCTGGTACTTGGGTCCAACAGAGCCATGGCTAAGATGATGGTCCATTTGATTGGAAGACTGTTTATGTACAGGGATGTAGTACAAAGAAGTCTGTTTGATTGGAAGAATGCTCAGATACAGGGAGGTCGTGCAAAGCAGTCACTAAATTGAGAACAAGGGAGACAAAAATTCTTACTATAGATGGAAGACATAAATACAGAAGGAGAAAGTAGAGAATAGACTATATGGTATTGGACTAAAATAGAAAACATCAGTGTGACTTCATGGCTTTCAGTTATATAAAAAGATACACAAGGAATATTACAAATACATGTGTGTATGCATACAAGACATCACCTAGGATCTGTGGGAAGCTGGTTCCAGGATGCCCCACAATGTTTAAGTCCCTTATATGAAATGGCACAGCATTTGTATAGAAGCTTTGCTCATCCTGCCAGATACTTTAAATCATCTCTAGATTGCTTGTAATACCTAAAACAATGTAAATGCTATTTAAATAGATGATAGAAAATATTATTTAGGGAGTAAACTTGAGAAAGTCTGTACATATTCAGTTCAATTTAAATATTTTTGATCTGGAGTTACTTGAATCTGTAGATGTATAACCCAAGAATTTTGAACCAGCTGATGCGGAGTCCATGGATAAAAAGACCAGCTATATAAGCACATCCTAGTTCTGTCTACTGAAAGGTCTTACTAGTTAGTAGCAAAACTAAATCCCCAATTTTGCATTCTAAATACCATTCCCCACTTAAACGAGCAAAGACTCCTTGGCAAATGGCTGTTTTAGGACTAGGGCAAGGACAGTACAACATGACATAGAATATTGTTTTGTGCTATAGAAAAAGGAAGTGCTCAAGAAACGATGGGGACATGTCAAAAGAACATAGCAAACAGTTTGGCAGATCCCCAATGGCAAAGAAAGGACAAGCTATGTATCCAAGTAAATAATGATAATAATGAATTGTAACTCAATGAATAAAATAGGCATCTGTGAATCCCTAAAGAATAATAGATAAATCAATTAATGGGGAAGAAATTGAAATTCTTTCTTATAGCAGAAAGTCAACCAAGGGAAGGCTAGAATTAGAGTATCACCATTCAGTAGTATTTGTAACATACTAAAACTACGGAGATAAGGTTGGGGATGTTACTAAAACGAGGATGTAAGTGGTACAATGCTTGCTTAGCATGCACAAGGCCCTGGATTTGATCCCAGAACTGCAAAAAAATACACACACACACACACACATAAATATAAATAAAATGATAAAACTAACAAGTAAGAGTCTGGTGACAATGGAATATTTACAGATTCTGAAAGTCTTTCCCACAAATACTTATAAGTGAGTACATAATAATTTGTGAACAGTAGAAAAACCTGGTAAACACAAATTAGACAAGTGATAAAGTTTAATTTGAAAAACAGAAGTTAACTTTACCCATGAGAGACAAATCAAAATTGTAAGCCCCTTGATGTGATGCACTGAGTTATACTTCTTCCCATCATATTCTTCAATGTATGACCTGAATCTAATCGTGGAGACTGAGCAACAATAAAAGGAAATGATGTGTGCTCTACAGAAACATCAAAGTCATGAAAGACAAGATGGAAGGCTAAGCAACTGTCCTGGCTTCAAGGAGACTAAACAGACATGCCCCAGATTCTGAACCACAAAAGATGGAGGGGTAAAGATGACACTTTGGTGGTGCCGCTGACTGGCTTTGCATTAAAAAACATTGTTAGGACAATGGCATAACTTGAACGGAATATATGCATCCGAGAGTATTCCATCAATACTATTTCCTGAGTTTGATGAGCATGACACAGTCAGGTAAAACACTGTCCTTATTTTTAGGAAGTACAGGTGGAAATACTAAGGAGGAATGAAGCATCATGGTACTTCATTCTCTCAGAGAATGAAAAGGAATCTAGGTGAAAATATAGTGGTAGTCTTGTAATTTTTCTGTAAATTTTAAACTCTTTTAAAACTAAAAGTTAAAAAGTCTTGTTTTGGTTTGCTTTGGCTTGATTTTTGCTAGGGAGTATGTCGAGGGGGGCAGGTGCTTTGCGGAAGTTGTTTTTTTTTTTTTAACAAGAACTGGAAATAAGGAGTTTGATCTTCCTTCTTCCTTCAGAATTGTTACAAATTACTGGCCTTACTTTTACTTCAACTGTTTATAAGGAAGAAAGAAGGGAATTAGTAAGACAGAGATCAGGTGCCTGAGTAAATATGAACACATGAATTTAGAATTTTTCACAAGCTCGTATTCTCATACCCCAAACATGACAGCAACAAGCTGTTCTCCAGTCTCAGGAATAGAAATGCTTTCCAATTACAGTAGAAAGTAATGGTGAATATAAAGCTTTTAACAACTGGTCTCTGTGCTGCTGCTTCTCCAGGATCTTTCCATCTTCTCTGCTGTCTGGGCCAGAAGGTAAATAAGGGCTAACCTAGGAAGAGGTTCTGTGCTCCTGCTGCAGAATGAGAGGCTTCAGAAGAAAACTAAAACATGGAGGGAGAAGCAGTTGGGGAGCCTGGAAACCACCAGCACCACTAGCTTCTGCTACACTTTCTCATCCCAGCTCCTGTGTATCACTTCAGAAGCACTGCTTTCTTCCTTCCCTTCAGGGCTGGTGAGGTCACCCAATGGACAGAACCCCCCAATGCCTAAACACCTCATGGTGTCCTTTAACCTTGACATCCTTCCCTAAATGCTCACTTGATGAAATGACATTCAGAGCCTCATCTAAGGGTGCTTCTGCATGCTGCTCCAACCCGCCAGACACAGGCTGTTTTCACTGATTTGAGGTCACAGCATCTCTAGCTCACAGCCACTTACAGTCAAGAAAGTCCACTGACTTCATAAACTACCTGCTTCTGCCTTAATATCCTCATGAGTCATCCTGACACTACTGAACTTTCTGACATCTCTGTTCATTCACTCACTTGATAGTTTGTAATTCAACAATTCTACAAAACTTTCTCAGATGTATTCAACCCTGTACTGCCGTGTGCTAGTCTTAAAGAAACTGTGTAAGCTCTTCCCTTTGTAATCAGCAGGACACAACAGTCTGTGCATAATAAACACTAACGGGGCCTTATTTGGCTTAAGTGAACTTCATCCTTCCACTCCAGGATATTGGTCAGTCATCAGGATTCAAAGAACCTGCCATCTGGAAGTATAACACCTTGCAATCAGCAATGTGGGTATTTATTACAGACCTCTCAATCCTATCAGCTACAAAATGGCTTAAAAACAGTTAAATTGACTAAATTAATGTTGTGTACAAGACAACAGCCATCATGGGGTATTCAAAATACTTCTTCTAAGAGGGGAGGAGGAGGAGGAGGAAGAGGTAAGAAAAAAAACTAGGCATAATAAATAAATAAATAAACAAACCAATATTCCCACTTTCTCTCTCTTGAACTCATCAGTGGATGAGTTACTGGGTTCCTTAAAGAGTTAGCAGAACTACAAAGTAAATTCCTTGGTCTGTGGCTTATTTGCCTTAGTCTACAATGGAAAAGTAAACAAAATAACACCATGAATCTTTGTTGTTTGATGTGAGGCTACTTTAAACCAAGTTGTAATCACTCATTACACAACAAATTCCCTAAATGACTTTAAATGTTTGGTTCACAAAGAAGAGTGCAAAACAGATGTAATATTAAAGTGCCTAATTATAAGCAATAATTCCATGATAAGATCTCTACAATGCAAACAATTTACTAACATCAAATCCAGATATGAATTCAAATTTTGGCAAAAAAAAAATTAAGGTGGTCTCAGCAAGTCCTCCATTAAACGTGTTTCTGTTCACCAGAAAAAAAAAGAGAAGCCTACATGCAATAAACTATCTATTGCTGCTGGCTACAAATAATAGAAGACCCAACTAGAAGTTTCTTAAGTAATTCAAGTACATACTTTCTCTTTGAATAAGAAATTTGGAGGTAGATTACTCCAGTTTCAGACCTGTGTAAGAACACAGGTTAGCATGTCTGGGATTCTTCAGAATACAAAACAAAACAGCTACAAGAGCTCCAAACACTGTATCCTAACAACAGCATTCAAATTGGGGGTAAAAGAAAAGAGAAAGTGAGAAAGGGGTTTTTTTGGTTATAAGCCAGTTTCTTATTAGGAAGGAAAACTTTTCCTGAAAGCCCTCTCCTTTACATCTCAATGGCCAGAACTGACATTCATGTGGACCCTAAATCACACACTAACAAGAGAATTGGGCACCATTACTGTATCAATTATTATTCACTCATCAATGGGCCCAAAATGTATTAGCAAGAAAGAAGAGAATGAGCTGTACACGGGAAACTCTCAAGTTAGTACTCAGAGAAGTTCCTGGATTGTTCAAGTCAAATATTTATTCAAATTTAGAGGAGAAAAATAAAGCTCAGAAGGTAGGAAGGAGTTAGGGGGAGAGAGGGATATCCTCCAATCCCAAGGGGCCAAGCAGGAATGTGACTGAATGGGGGTGGAGGCAGACTGGGTGGGAACTGTAGGGAACTAAAATGTGTGGCCCATCTTGAGGCTTCTGGGTCTTAACCCATTTCAAGTTCATACCACCTTAAATTTCAGCAAACTACACCAGGAATAAACAGATACTCCTCCTCTAATCTTCACACAAATGTGGACAGGTTGCCTTGGCTACCAGAAAGAAGCTGTGACACTCGTATCTCTTACTATATGCCAGGTGCTATTCCAAGTGCTTATGCATCTGATCTCATTTCACTTTTTAAAACAGAACCCTGTGCCTCAGGTCCCATCAATGTCTCTCTCTTCCATACTGCAAGCCCCTGTCATATTTATTACGGATCCTGAGCTCGTGGCACAACAGCATATAAAGATGCACAGAAAGCATTGTCTAAATAACAGTGAATACAATAAAATCTGTTGTTCCAGTGCTTGCTCCTATGAGACATTCCACTCATACAATACATTTTGAGATATAAAGCACACTGTTGTGAGTGTATAATTCAAATAGCTTCTGTTCTATAATTCTATTCAGCTTTCCCATGTGAGTTTTATAATAAATAAATGGTCAGTTTGTTGTAACCATCCATCTTCCACGTTGTATTCAAAATGCTAGATCAAATTACTCATATATAACAAAACTACTCAGGCTGGTTTTGATTGCCTACTTTTCCTTACATATTCCATTGCTACATATATCTTTACTTATAGCCTTTTTATACATTGTTTCTAATGTTGTACATTAGAAAAAAACTTCTGTAAGTTATTAGATAATTAGGGCCGCATCTCACCAGCATTCATATCTTTAAATTTCTGCTTGAGCTCAGCAGGAGTAAGGCGATATTGATCAAGACCATCATTCCAGTAAATTCGGTCCAGGACTTGAAGATCTCCTCCAATCAGCCAATTTCCTTGTTCCATAACCATCTAATAGGAAGAAACAGAAAATAATTTGTTTAAACAGAAACCAAGACCAAAATAAGTAAAAACATTCCTCTCATGAATGGTGAATACAATGGTAAGCTACTCTCCTTATTAAAGGCAAATCTGTTGGGTGGTATCAATTGTATTAGGATTACAAATGCTACAGAATTAGAATGCATTTTGTAATTTCTCAAAAACCTTGTGAAGCAGGCATCCAATTTACAGAAGAAAAACAAACAAAAAACATTTCATTGTTGTTGGATGTTGATTAACAGCATAATTTGTAACCTTGGACCATCCACCCACCGTCCCTATTCTCCAATCCTAAACTACTGAACCATTAATGATCAATGACAAATTCAAACTCATACAACTGGTCAAATTCATTGACAAATTCATCTATATTATCTCAAGTTTTATCCAGCTTCACTCACTCTCTTTCCCTGCCTCTGGAAGGAGGAGCTGGGATCTTCCAGGACCTGTCCATCGTCACAGTACAGCTCGAGCATCCTCTTCCCCCACCCTGTTTTATGTGCCCACAGTGGACATTGTTTCCTTTAAAACTCAGTCTACTTTAAAATACCAAACAACTGACTGAAACTTAACTTCGATGCTAACATTGCACACATAATGCATAACGTAAACGAGGCCTTCTGGAGAGACTAGTTCTATTTTGCCATTTTCCTACCAGAAATGCAATGTAAAAAGACCAGAAATGATTATGTCACCCTGGTGTGGGCTCCCATAGAAGTCTGACTTCACATCTTCCTTGTAAGTATATGATCAGGATTCATTCCCACCACAAACCTCCAAAAGTAAACACTATGCCCAGCCTGCCCCCAGCCCTATAGTCCAACACCAGCAGCCAGCTCAGTGGCTGGCAGAGTAGATTTTTTTTTTAAGGATTTGTTATAGGCTGGGGAGTGTTTCTAAGTAGAAGAGCATAGGGCTTAACAAGTGAAAGGTAAGGGGATTAATCCCCAGCATCAAAAAATTTAAAGACTAAAAATATTTGTTGAATAAATATTTGTCTGGACCAGAATGACAAGACTACATTCTTATTACACTAATCTAAAATCCAGTCACAATTCTGCAGATCCAATGGAACAGTTAATACACAGAGAATGCCCACATTTCAGCACAATGTTAGTGGCAAATCAAGATAAAATGCAGCAAGGTGCATTCAGAACCTTAATGTAGGGGTGGTTTTTGCACGTGGTTCCCCACTGTCTGGCACAACGTTCCTCTTTCCTGTGCTCAAAAAATTCTGGGTTTCGAAGAATAGCCACACGGCGGCCCTCATACATGAGAGCAAACGCTGTACAGCCATCCAGCCTCTCTTTGTCCTCGTGAGTAGCTGTCAGAACTATAGGCACTGACAAGTTGATGACACCCCCTGGAGGCACAAAAGAACATAAAGCACACAGCACAGATTATTCAACAGGCCTCACCTTCTGTTCAGTGTACACACTCCAAATAAAAAAGGCTCAGGGGTCCAGTGACAGTGTCACCAGGAATACACAATCAGGAATAGGAACAAACAATTACCCCAGAAGTTTTAAAAAAGCAACAAAAAGTTAAAAAATTAATACTGTGTAAGATAATACATTAGTACATCTCACAACTCACAACAACCTATCAATCTGTACTTGGAAGAAGTTTTATATAGAGTTATAGAATAAAAGTAACTGTTTACCAAGGAAGATCAGAAGATTATTACTAACAGTGCTGAAAATCTACTGCATGCCCTGTTACACGAATGAGGCTCAGAACTATGTTCCAGGCCCTTCAGGAAAAAGTTCAATCCTTGTTAAAAATAGAATTGACATAAATAACTACATTTCAAGTGGCAAACTGATTGAGTACACTGGAGTACACCTGCATATCCTTGCAACAGGAATACAAAAAATACCTCAAAAGGTTTTTTTTTGTTGTTTTCGTTTTAAATACAGTGAGAATCAAACCAACATCAGCTACCATTGACCAAGAAACAAAGACAGCATCAGTGGTTCCACTTAAACCAAAACCAAAAGCATAGCCTTAGTTCCCAACCTTCAAGCTACAAAAGTTTTTGCTTTTTAATCAACTCATCACGTACAAATTAGAAAAGTAAAATGCAGGTGCACAAGGCGTGGTGGTGTGCACCATAACCCACTACTATGGAGGCAGAGATAGGAAGACCATGAGCTCACGGCCAGCCTGGGCTAATACTGAGACACGGCCTGCCTCAAAAAAAAAAAAGTCAGGTGTGGTAGCTCATGCCTATAATCCTAGCTACTTGGGAGCTGGAGATAGGAGGATCTGTTCTAAGGCCAGCCCTGGCAAAAAGTACAGGAGTCCATTTGCAAAATAACAGAAAACCAAAAGGAGCTAAAGGGGTGGCTCAAGTGGTATAGTGTTTGGCTAGCAGCACAAGGTCCTGAGTTCAAATGCCACATGCCCTCCACCAAAAAAAAAAGAAAAGTAAAACATCCTCTTCAATTCATATTTGGATTTACATACTGAAGCAGCTGTATCTTTGAGGGAGTCATGGCACGCCTTCTTTGGACAAAAGGTATCAACACTATCAATGATAAATGCCTGGCCACTTTTGAGATTACAAACACTAGATACAGTTTAAAACAGAAAATGAACAGGCAGATTTGCACCAAACTCCAAGACTGAGTCACTACTAAACAGTTCGTCCACAAAGACTACCATCAATTCCAAGGAAGAAAATCAAAGTGCAATTTTTAGTCTTTATATTCTTATAATAAAGTTTCTTGAGTGTTATGGCTTGGATATGAAGTGTCCCCCCAAAAGGCTCAATGTGTTGCCAGCTTGACTGCTGGCTGCTGGTGAGACTGACATGTGACTGGATCATCAGCGCAATAACCTCATCGATGGGAAAAATCCAGTGATAAATTCAAGGCTGTATGAGCTATTCAAAGGTGGGGCCTACTTGGAAGAAGTGAGACACTGCAGGGAGTGTCTCCTCTTTGAGGGCCTGTCTCCTCTTATGAGCCTTCATTTATTTCACTTTCTGCTTCCTGGCTGTCATGAGCTTTCCTCTGCCATGCCCTTCCCCCATGTTTCTGCCTTGCCACACAGGCTTGAAAGCAATGCAGCCAGCTGACCATGGTCTGAAATCTCTAAAAGCCAGAATCAAAATATATCTTTCCTTCTTTAAGTGGTTTATCTGAGATACTTTGTCACAGTAATTGAAAGACAACTAACACAAGAAGAATGACTTGGAATTACATTTTTGAACATCTATTTCAGTTTAAGGAAATCAGACTATAGAGAACTTGGTAGAGCTCTGTGACATTCAAAAATACTTTTTTATGTGCACTTAAGAATACTTATCAGTGGCACACCCATAAAGTTCAAGGCTGTAATGCTAATGTACTAGACATCAATTACTTTGGCAATTTTTTAAAACATTTTAAAGAACAGGGCATGGTACTAAGCATCCATAATCCCAGGTACTGGAGGCTGAAGTTAGAGGAGTGTGAGTGTGATCCCATCCTAAGCAACACAGCAGGTTCATGGCCAGTATGGGCAACATAGCAAGATTCTCTCTCAAAAATAAAACAATGTTCATTTATACCTTGCCACATTTACCACCAAAGATTCTTTACAGAAAGAATTTAAAAGGATATCCCCCTGGAAAAATAAAACTTACTATTCCAAGGGAATATTGAAGAAACAACAAGGAATCCTTAGGGGGGAAAATGAAAATTATATTGATAAAGCTTGAAGAAATTATATAGTAGTATCTAAATGTGGTGGGGCTGAGGTGTTGCTTAATGGTACAGTCCTTGCCTAACACTTGTGAGGCTCTGGGTTTAATCCCTAGCACTGAAAAAGTAAAAATAAATAAAAGTTTTTGGAAAAGAGTAAGAACCATGAATTTAGCCTTGCATTTCAGGATTCCTCAACTAGGACTCCACAATTCCTCTTTAGAAAGTTCAAGCCTGGGCTTGGGCATAGCACCACTGGGTATGAGTGTGCACTGTGTGTGGAAGCTTTCTACAGCGACCAAGTGGATGTAACAAAGGGAAACGGTACCTGCTTTTACAGCCCACTTTCAGCCCTCATCTCCAGGGTTACCTTCTCCTCTGCAATGAATCACAATGAGGAAAAAGAAAAATGGAACTAAGATCTCACAGTTCACTTAGGTAGTGTTCAGTACCAATATGACTTAGCCTTAAAATGCTACCTCTATTAAGATGTTACTGCTACCTTTTATAAACACCTGAAACTACAGTCTCTTTCATGCACAATGTATTATTGAATGTAAGCTATCTTACCATCCAGCAGACAATCAAAATGGAGGCACTGCAAGTACTCCCTCTCTCTCATGAAGCCATTTAGGGGGGTCGCCCAACCTTCTGCCAAGACCTGCACCCATTGCATATCCACCTAGGAAATTAAAACAGCAAAGAAAAATTCCTATTTCATACATTTTCAAACCCAAACAGTACAGACCTTTAGGGACTTAATTTTGAAAGTAATAGAAACAAACATTTTAAGAGTAGATTATACAAATCTAAGAATAAGAGCACTAGGAAAATATGCATTTCTTCAAGTTCAGAAAGCCAAAAGCCACACGCTTTCTCTCATATATGAAGATAGGTCCAACACAAAAAAAGCAGTATTACGAAAAATAGGTCACACTAAGGGGAGGTCACTAACGAGAGAGGAAGTTTTGGTAAAAGAAGGAAGTTAAGAAGGTGAATATGGCTGATATACTTTCTCTACAAGAATGAATATAGAATTTTCAAATGTGCTGAAATCACCATAAGAAGAGGACTAAGGTAGAAAGGAGAAAAATAGAAGGGATGAACCAATTTGGGTTAAAACACACACACATACACACACACACACACACACACACATATACATTCATAAGTACACATAAATGGAAATGTCACAATGAAACTCCCCATATAGCTATCTTAAACAAACAAAAATGTCTCTTCTCAAAAATGGAGAACAGGAAGGTAAAGCAGGTCCTGTGTATAGGCACCAGTGGGAGGGGAGAGGACGTAAGGAAAGGGTGTAGGAGGTGAATGTGGTGGAAATATTGTGAATACATGTATGAAAACGGAAAAATGAGACCTGTTGAACTATTCCAGGAATGGGATGTAGGAAGAAAATTAAGGAGAATGATGGAGGGGGTCAATTCAACCTTAGCATATTCTAAGGACTTTTGTAAATGTCACAATATACCCACAATACAACAATAATATGATAATAAAAATAAAGAAAATAAGCACTTCTCCAAAGAAAATTAAATAGTATTAGGCCTCCACATATTCTAAGGACAGCATCACCTGAAGCAGCAGCTCTCAAACTTTACTATGGATCAGGCGCCTCTACAAAGCTGGTTAAAATGAAGACTGCCTTGCACTCAGTTTCTGATTCAGTGGTCCAAAGATTTTGTATGGCTATCATACTCCCTAAAATGCTAACAGTGAAGGCCTGATAACAATGCTTTATTAACAACTGTCCTAAACATAAGAATTTTTAAATGAAAATATTTACACCAAAAGTCCCTCACCCTTGACAGAATACTATTCATCTTACAAAGACTATCATTTCTTGAACTTTCAGATTTGTAGTACATCCTATGAGAACATTAAAGAATTGATGAAGGGTGTACACCATTCACATAAGCTGAATGCACTTGTTTCTTTTTAACTGGCCAGATGTCAAATGAGAAAAGATGAAGTGCCTGGCCAACTGGTGTGCAATGAAATGTAGTCTCCTATTTATTCCCAAAGTAATGTTGGCCAGTGTATTCCATTAAAAATCAAATAATGGAAAGGAAGGAATTCTCCTATTTCAATTCACAGAGATAATAATATTTATGGAGATTTTTTGTTTTTCATTTTGAAGTTTCCTTCTTGTTAACTTTTTCTAAAGCTTTGACAGTGGCTACTGTTAGTCTCTGTGAGAATCCAATTCTAGATGGTATCTGACAAAGCTACATGTCTGTATCCCTGCAAAATTCCTTAACCTCCAGTACAACTGAAATTGGAAATATGGCCCATGAGGAGATGTGCACTGCCAACTGACATATTTGAGAATTGCTGTACCGAGGAATGTTTGCACATAGAATAGTCTGAGTTCTACAGTCTGACAGACCTGGATTCACATACACATGCTCACATATTCTCTCTCATTCTCTCTCTGGGAGGGTAGCTGTGTTCATTCCATGCACACTCCGTCAGTGACGAGTTCTGGTTCCTCTGCCACAGCCAGCTTCTGAAGCTGCTCTGCTCTACAACCCTCCCCCTTCCTGACCCTCACCAACATGTCCTAAATTCTGGTCAGAGACCCAGTCACACAGGCATATCAAGATCATCAACTCCCATCAGGATTTGACAACCATGGAAGAATCTTTCTCCAGTCCAACAAGTTTTGTTTTCCTTTCTTCTTATTTTAAGAGTTGGCACTTCTCTGGGTGTTTTGGATTTTTACTCTCTTTTTGGAAAGGCTAAGAAATTCAGCTTCTATCCCACGTCCTTATTTCTTAATCTCTCTGTTTTTAAAATATACACAAATGGTACAACTTAAAATTCTGAGCTTTGAAAATAAATTATAGTTTCCATTCTCATCATGCCTAGTTTAACTCAACAACCTTTTACTGGAAAAGTCACCTAATGACAGAATTAGAGCTAAGATATTTAGCAGAACTATTTTTAATATAATAATTGTTCTCAATTATGAAAGGGAGAGCCAAATGTTGGGAAGGAGACTAAAAAACATTTTTGAAGGGGGAAAATGCTCATTTTAATTATTATGGATTAGTATTTCTCAATGTTTTAGAACACATTCTTTCTCATAGGCCTCAAAACCTCACACAATCTTTTTTTGCACGTTTAAAAATAAATATTATGACCAAAAGCAAACTTCCACCCCAGCCTCAAACACTAATATAATAAATCATACAGTTATCAAACTAATGACTATGTAGAAGACTATCATTTAGTTTGAAAAGCAACACAGAACTTACTTTATTAATTTTCAGTGCTGGTAATGTCTCTGCATCTGTTTTAGCCAAATGAAGTTTATTTTCTGGCACGTACAGCTCTTTTACTTCGTAAGAGGCATCCACAGGTACAATATCCTATATAACAATAACAGTACAATTAAACGCTTGATTCAGCAATTTAGACTTCTCTGAAGGTATCTTAGTGAAGAAAATCAGAATTCCATAGTATTACAAAATTATCATAAAAAAGGCTTTTGAAAGCTCACTGTCAAGGAAGACAGCAGAACTGTGTCTGTGTGTCTGTGTGTGTGTGTGTTTATGTGTGTGTGTGTGTAAGGCACAAACCCAGCGCAGCACAGGACTCTATGTATCTTCCAGATCTTGTGCGATTAAGCCTCCAAAGGCACTCATAGCTGAAAGCTACTCACTGTGTTTACTGAGGTTTACATGGGATCATTAAAAACCATGAAGAAGAAAGATAGTGCCTCCAGCTGCCTGTACTTTCTCTTGATAGAAAGTACAACTGTGTACTAATACAGTGTATTATTTCCCCACATTAAATGAATCTACACTAAAGTAGGCATGTGCTGACTTTTGCCAAGGGGCCAAAGAAGTGACAAGTAAACACACTGTTTATATGTAATACTTGATTTTAATTGTGAACCTGAAAAGGAAAACCATATATAGAAAACTTTAATCTAGTCAGAGAAATGGCTTAAGGTAATTGATTCTATGCCTTCTAACTCCAGGAATTATTTTTTAAAAAACATTTACTTTAAATTATGTAACAGCAGTAAGCAGGATTTGCAAATGAACAAAGCAATCACTCTTCATGATCATCATTGTCATTTTTTATTTTCCCATCAACCGTTCTTCACCTGTAGGCACGTTGCAGGGCAAATGGTAGTTTTAACAGCATGTAAACTATGACATTTCAACTAGAATATAAAAAATCACAATTAACATTTCCTGGAAGGACAACATGATGGGGATTAATTGAACTACACACACATGCCCTGTATGTTCAGTCAGCTTCCTGGATGTGTAACGCCCACAAAGATGCCTGCAGGCATACACATTATTACAGCAGCAAAATAAAGAACTGAAATCTTTCGTGCTAGGAAATAAATGCTAAGTGTATCGGAAATTACACAAAAAGGAAGGCATTCATTAGGACTTTTGTGAGGAAGAGTATGATGCAGTTTCACAAAAAGATGTGAAATTAAATATCTACATTAATCACAAAATTTTAGGAACACAACTTCCTCAAAATCAAAAAGAGAAAGAAGAAGGTAGCAGAAGTCTATGGGTGAATTATTTCTGGTGTTCTTACCACTAATGCTGTGAAGAAAAGAGGACACAGACACGCTATAGCTAAGAATCTAAGATCATGTTCTAACTCTGACAGCATAGCCTTGAGCAGGTTACCAAAAGCTTCACCACCATCTCCTCCACAGTTGTTTTAAAAAAAAAAAATGCACACAAACTCCAGGTATGTAACAAAAGATTTAAAGTATCTGAACTGTGGGGGCTAACAATAACTGAGTTCTTGTACCACCACACACTGCTCTAAGGTTTCATATGAATTAATTCATTTAATTTTCACAAAATCCTACCTATTGCTATCTGCCTTCCTTCACAAAAGAGGAAACTGAGGCCCTGGAGAGGTTATTAACTTCCCCCAAATCCCTGCTATACTGCTTTCCAAAGCACGTAACACACAATAAATACTCAATAAATAATTACAGTATGCTAGTTATATGTCATGCTCTCAGCTCTCTGCAGAAGGCCTGTTAACTCACAGAATTCTCAGATCAAGTCTGGAGCAGGTACTATTATTACTTCCATTTCACAGATGAGAAATGAAGTCAGAAAATGGAAGCCAAGGTCATTTAATTAACTGAAAAGTGTTGCAACTTCGATTCAACTCCAAAAACACCCTTCAGTGTTTCCCCCCGAAAACTAAGTTATGAAACATTTTGTCACACATATTATTCATAATTTACTTTCATAAAATAAATTTCAACAATTATAATTCCCAGGGTTTGGGGTCAATATGTGATCTTTCAGTGTGCTGGTAAAGTTCTAGACAAAAAGTAAAGACATGCAACATTTCTGTTAGGACTAGAGGATAAGTGAACAACGTTCAACCAAGTTTTGCAAACCCTGTGAATACTAGAGAACGAATCTCCATTTCCACTGCTTTGGACCACTTAGCACTTTGAAAACCAGAATATGCCATCCAGAACATATAAGATAGGGACTCCAAAAAAACAGAAGAATCTCACTCTCAACTCTGAAGATAAGAACAACCCTCCACAAAGTTTTGCCACTTTGGAACCTCCATCACCTTAGAGTAAGGCTGGGACAGTTTTGTATGTTGTGGTGGGGTTGCCTACTCTCTGCTCTCCCACACTTTCTGCTGACATCTGCCAACAATCTGGGAGGGTCGGAAGAAAACCTCCGGCCCCACTCATCTTTTGGTCTTTGCTGTATACACCAGTACATTTTTCAGTTTCAGCAGGTTTCCCAAGTCAGCACCCTAGATGCAAATGCTGAGGATGGCAGCAGTGTGAAGGAGCCTCTGCAAAGCTGCAGGCCACCAGCTGAGCTATGTATTTCCCTCCGCCAGGAGCCAGGAGGGGTGCAGGCACCTGACCCCATGGCCCCTCCAGAGACACTCCAAGCAAGGACTGTAAAGTAACTGAAGTTTCTACAGAAAATGTATACAGCTTCCTTCTGACTATATCAGTTTTGACACAAACATACAAATAACTTGTGAGCAAATCTAAGGGTCACCAAGATAACTAGTTTGAAAATGAGAAGGGTAATATTTATACGATGAGCCCAAATTATTTTTAAAGATATTTTATGAACAAATGTCTTGCTTTAAAGGTTTTTTGGGTTTTTTTTAATGATGTTTTGACCAAATGCCAACAGATGTGGTCTTCATATGAATGACTATGTTACCTAACCCACTTAGATTATACAGCCAGACTGAAATACAAATTAGACAACTGAGACATTAAACTAAAGTCCCCAGGGCACTTCAGCAGGAGTGCGTTTTTAGTCAAGTGCTGCTTTATATATAACATGGGGACTATAATCACTTTCATTTCAAAGCTTTTTTGTATTTTACTTTTGAGTCAAATATATTTTTCATTATAAGCATTTCATAAAGTTCCCTTTTCAGAATCACATCTAGCTTAATATCTTAAGTGAATGTCATGCTGATACCTTAAGTACAAAATTCTTCTGATGTCTCACCAATGTCAAAATAAAAGTACAAGGGGTTCCTACTGTTTTCCTCTTCTGGAAGGGTAAAGTGAGTATTTCTGGAATTAATACAAACGTAATGGAACCAGGGAAACATGGAGCACCTGCTCATGGAAGTAAGTTCTATGTGGATTCTGTGTCTACAGACAAAATACAAAATACAAGAATACAAAAAGAATCTTAAAGATGCAAACACAGCCAGTTTCCAGCATGCTCTAGAGACAAATCTGCTTCAAAAACCACCACTAAACATCCAAAACTTGCAAAGCCACCTCAAAGTGAGACAAGATATCTGGACAAGAGAATGTAAAGTCAGTGCCACATGAGCTATTCATTTTATTTGGGATTCGTTAGGATTTCCACAGACAAACTTGGCTATTAGAAACAATGTGTTCTTTGTCTTGTATATATAAAACATTTTACTGCAGCAAATTTCCTTTCAAACAAAAAACAGATCACAGCCAAGCCAGAGAAAGTCTTTACCTACCCAGATCCCTCACCTCCTATCTGAGAGGCTCCAGTCCAGCACTTGAGGGTAACAGAGGAGGCTCAGAGTTAATCTTAGGAGTCCTGAGCAGGGCACCAGTGAACAACTCACACACCACCATTGATGAGGGATGCCTTCCACAACCTGGAAGTCTAGAAGTATTTCAATACTATAAATTTTAAATATTAATTTAATTTTTAAGTGTAACATGGGTTCCAAACATTTTTTTTTGATTGACTGACTAAACACAGTCCAAGAACTAATATAGGCTACATCCATATTCTTTTTCAGATAATCACTTGTGTTCACCTAGAAACTGGGAGACATTGATACATGAAAACAGTAACTCTTGTCCTCTTGCTTTAGTCGTCCTAAAGTTTTAAGGTGTTCTTTTAAGTATTTTCTGGACTTTTTTTCTGGAGCCAAATTTGCTCAACAGATATGAACACTAGGACTCATTCATATTTTTATGCAACTATTAAATTTCTGTTATCTAAACTACATGCAACCAAAGCATAAACACAAATGACATTCTGCCAACCCCTTAAATGAGCTACAAAGTCTGTTTTTTATGTAGCATAAAATCCATTAGAGCACTAAACCACCATTTTTAAAAAGATAAACCTTTAAATAATTTATAGCACTAGTAAATCTAGAGTTCCTGGTAGATTAAAAAGCAGTATTTAAAATATCACTTCATATTAAAAACAGCAGCAAGAAACCTACTTCCTTATGTCATAACAGCAAAAGAAAACGCAGTCCTAGCAGGCCACCTAGTGACCACGCAAGGGTTCGGGGAAGAATTACATTAAAAATCCTTTTTTTTTTTTTTTTAGTAGCATCTATATTCTTGAATAAATACATGACAAATGAATCATGTGAAGAAAATGAAAGGTCCAGAGGTATGACTTAGTGTGGAGCCCTGCCTAGCAAACATGAGGCCCCGAGTTCAACCTAGAACACTACTGAAAAAAAGTTAAAAAAAAAATGTGTTGACCAAATGCTGAGAGAAACAGTTCTATGAATGACATGACCTACCCGACTTGTATGACACAGCCAGACTGAAAGAGAAATGAGACAACCGAGAGGTAACAGACGATCCATGACATCATACTCAGGTAGCCCATGTAATCTAAGTACTCACTGCCCTAGCAAACCCACTGTGCACCATGTTTTGTTTTTCTTGGACAGCGAAATAAATACTTTATCTTTCTAACAAGGACAATAAATACAGAACTGCAGGTAGAATTCATTTTAGAAGTCTCTCCAAAGTAATGCTGAGCACCATTTGCCACTGTTATTCCCATGGACACAGCATTTGCCAGACACCTTCATTCTCTGGGAAGTCCCAGGCCATACTATGCCCTTTTGT